ACCCAGGGTATTTCAGGCATGGTTGTAAGCCCTGGGGATGCAGGGGAGCAGGGCCAACGAGGTCCCTGGCTGCCAGAAGCTTCTGGGGAGAGGGCATCCCATGATGGTCATCTGTGGAGGAAAACAGCTCATGGAAAGCAGAACCGTTGTGGACGTTTCTTAAACCTGATGCTCTAAGCGCTGGAGCACCAGTTCCTTGTGGGGCAGGAACATATTGAAGGAGTTAGCTTAATTTTCAATGGCAGCACTTCATCCCCAGCTGGGCTCTGACCAGTATTTCTGTTCCAACTCGGTGAGGAAGTTGCTTTCTGTTTGATGGGAATCAGTGCGGTGCAAGGCTCTGACCCCTGTCCTGCTTTCAGCTCAATTTTCTGGATGCAAAGGGCAGAGATGGGTGGGGTCATTGCTGTTTGGGAAAAACCGGCCATCCGAGGGTGAGTCAGCACCTTTTCTAGAAGACACTGCTAGACCACTGCTCAACCCCCATATCCTTTGGCCTCTTGCTGAGTCAGAGCCTCTTCAAATGTTCCAGAACTCTCTCGAGGCAGAAAGAATGCACCTGCAGCCCTTGCCATCAATGGGACACGGGGTTGAAAGCAGGAGACAGTAGAAAGTGGGTCACCTTCCTGGCCCAGGGTGCGACAGGGGCTTGGGGGATCCTCTGCAGTGAGGATCCCCATGGGGAGCCTGTTCGGATCTCAGATGTGATGCGTGTGTCCTTTGCTCCCCCCCGGGCCGGGCGGGGGGATGCAGAGGAGGCTGGGGCGGCGGTCAGAGCCACGCGACTGACCACGTTGTCCTCTGACCCCCTAGCAGCGCCCCGTCCCTGGACGGCCTCTGCTCTGGAGGGGGTGCACTCTGGAGCTCTTCCCGGGGGCCGGAGTTTCTCCTAGGGCTGCAGGACTTCCCTCAATATGTGACACTGGAAACGCCCCATGTCCCAACGGAGGGGGAAGAAGGCCCTGCCTACACCCGGCCATCCTTCCTGACAGCCCTGCAGAGGCCGCACCCATGGACTGGGTGGTCTGTAGCAACGTCTGTCACTCGGGGCCCTCAGACCTCTGCAGAAGGACCGGGAGACCCTGATTCTGTGGCTGCTTGCTAAAGACAGATTGTTGCCTGCAGCACTTTCCTGGGCATGTTCTGGAAGACTGGTTTGTATTCCGTGGCGATTTTCCTTGGTCCATCACCAACATAGCTTGCCTGGAGGTAGAGCAAACCAACTGGTTACCAAATCTCCTAACTAGAGGCCAGAGGAGGGGAGAGGTAAGAATCTGGAGGCAAAATCCCAAGGGAAAGACCACAGGCCAAGTGAGAGGCTCTGGTCAAGGCTCTGGTCCAGGCCCTATCTTTGCCTCCTTGTGTGGCCATGAGTCAAACACACCCTCTGGCCCTTCTCCTCCATCAGGCAGTCTTCCTGATGTTCTCAGGACTTATTACCAGCACTCATTGATATGTCCTCCATATCAATGAGCCCGATTTGTCATTTTGATTTGTTTTTATGTTTCTTGATATGGTACAATCCTGTTTCAAAGTGCCCTGCTCCCGAGCCACTGGAGTGAACGTTTCCTGAAGTCAAGGACATTCTTGTTTCCTTGTTTTGTTTTGTTAAGAGAGTTAATTTTTTAGAACAATTAGGGGTTCACAGCAAAACTGAATGGAAGATGAAGAAATTTCCCACAGATCCTCGCCCCCTTTCATAGCCTCCCCCTCTACCCGCATCCAGAACCACATGGTACATTTGTTAAAATTGATGAACCTCCGTGGACCCCTCATCATCACCCAGAGTCCGTGGTTTACATTAGAGGTCACTCACGGTGTTGCAGGTTCTATGGGTTTGCACAAATGTATAATGTCACGTATCCACCCTGATGATATCATAACAGAGCATTTTCACTGCCTTAAAACCCCTCTGTGCTCTATGCATTCCTCCCTGTCCCCAACCCCGGGCCACCTCTGATCTCTTTACTGTCTCCATAGTTTTGCCTTTTCCGGAATGTCATGGAATTGGAATCACACAGCATGGAGCCTTTTCAGACTGGCTTCTTTCACTTAGTGACATGCATTTAAGGTTTCTCCCTGTCTTCTCGTGGCCCAATAGCTCATCTCTTTTAAGCAGTAATACTCTTCCACTGGATGGAACACTATTTATGTATCCATCACCTCCTGAAGGACATCATGGTTGCATCCAAGTTTGGGCAATTAGGAATAAAGCTCCTATAAATATCCACGTGCAGATTTCTGGGTGGACATAACTTTTCAACTCCTTTGGGTAAACTCCAAGGAGTGCAATTGCTGGATCGTATGGTAAGATGATGTTTAATTTGTAAGAAATTGCCAAACTGTCTCCAAAGTGGCTGCACATTTTGCATTCCTCCAGCAATGGGTGAGAGTTCCTGTTACTCCACAGCCTCTCCAGGATTTGGCGGCGTCAGTGCTTCCAGATTTGGGCCATTCTCCTAGGTATGCAGTGGTATCTCATTGTTTCACTCTGCATTTCCCCGATGACATATGATGTGGAGCATCTTTTCATATGCTTATTTGCCATCCGCATATCTTCTCCCCCATATACAGACAGACACAATGACAGAGTCATCCTGGGCCATCGCCGGGATTGGAGTATTGGCTATGTTCTCAAGTTCTCTGGCCCTGAAATTAGAACGAGAGCTTCCTGAAGGCAGAGATTGTATCTCCGGTCTGCTCCACCCAACGCCTAGATAGCTGCTTGCACCCGAATATTCTGAGCCCCGCAGGATAAAAGCCAAGTCTCTCTCTGATCACAGAGAGACTGCTTCACCAACCTGAGCCTCCAGCTCTTCATGTGGGAAATGGGAGAATAATAGGACCTCCTTTAGAGAGCTTCCAGTGGCAAATGTGCTAATTGATACAATGTAGCTCCGAGCCTGGCCCAGGGCAACACTCAGAAAAGGTGAGCTAATGGCAACAATGATTATTTGCTTTTTGGAAGAACAACTGAATTCCATTGGTTCAAAGAAGAGCTGAGCCGGGACAGGGCAGCTGATATAATTCTGTGATACCAAGAAACGTGAGGCCAGCAAGCAGGGTGATTTCTTGCATTGTTTTCTTACAAATATTTTTTTCTAAAATTAGGAGCTTTGGGGTCATGGGTGGGTAGAAAAGGTTAAAACAAAGTAACCATGCCACAGTGGCAGCCCTAAGAATTAAAGTTAGAGGGACACCTGGGTGGCTGAGTCAGTTAAGCGTCTGCCTTCGGCTTAGGTCATGATCCCAGGGTCCTGGGATTGAGCCCCGCATCAGGCTCCCTGCTCAGCGGGGAGCCTCCTTCTCCCTCTGCCTCTCCCTCTGCCTCTTCCTCCCCCTGCTCGTGCTCTCTCTCTTTCTCTGAAAAATAAGTAAATAAAATCTTTGAAAAAAAGAATTAAGTTTAGAGATTCAGAGAAATTAGCCAATTTTGGGACTTCACCCCAGGAGTCAAGCTCAAATGTCGGCAAAGGGGTCAGCTGGTTAATGGAAGCCTGGCTCCCATGTCACTCACTCACTTTCTCGACTCTGCTCAAGGCCAGTCCCAGCCTGGCCTCCTTCCTCACACCATTAACACGACAATTAATGCAGTGCTGGAACAGACCCAGACGAAACACTTCCTCTCCACTTCACCAGCACAAACATCTATTCTGGGTTTGGGCTATTTTCCAAGTTGGGTTACATGATGATAAACAAGTTGTGTTTTGTTTTGTTTTGCTTTGTGGGTTTTTTGTTTTGTTTTTTGGTTAGTGAAATTTTAACTGGGTACTTCACAAAACACAATTAAAAAGTTATTTGAGGAAACCATTGAGCGGAAAAGTCAGAGACGTAAAGAATTGCAAGTGGTTATAAAAATGTTTTCCACTAAGCTCTGTTTATTCCTTGGCCTTTGAAAAGACCTGCTTGGACACATTTCTGACCAGCAATATGCATTTCCCACAGATGTAGGGGCTTTCTTATATAGACCATCAATAATTATCTATCTTCTTTTAAGGATAAAAATGGAAAGTGAAAAGTTCAAGAAATCAATTAGCTTGCTTGAATCTGCTGAGAAATTCAGAACAACGTTCATGGCTGAAATTTACAAAGTAAATCAACATAATATGAAGAAGTAAATTAACCTGGAATGACAAATTGAAAGGAAAGTTCCCATGTAACCTCATAAATTTCCTGCTTGATGGATTTCAAGTCTCTGATTCCTAATAAAATTCTCATGAGAACATAGTATTGCTCCATAAAAACTCCTGAACTCTCCCCATGAGAAATGGCTAGTTTATAAGGGCACATGGGTTCATGGCTGTGGTTTATTTATTAAAAATTTCTCAGTAAATATATCATGGTCCAGCGCATAGCACCCCACGATTATGGGGAGGCTGTGTATCATTCCTGCTGTCCCTAAGTATGAAGAAAAGAAGAAGTACGTCAGGAACTCTCTAAACCAGAACAAACAAACAAACAAACAAACCTGTAACCTTTTTTTCTTTCCAGGAGAAAGTTCTATGAGAGCTGATCCTTGCCTTTACCTTGGGACCAAAAAGACCCCATAGGATTTTCACATTGGTCTTAGGAAAGTCTGAACATGGCTGCCAGATGGTTGACACTGAGTCCTGCAAGACAGAGTGAAGGCTTGGTGTCATCTCTGTCCCTAGCGTGGGACATGACCTCCCAGGGAGGACAGGGCAGACAAAAGCTGCCACGTGGGTATTGCAAGTTTTGAGGGACTTCAAACATCTCAGAGGAAAGTTGTATAATTACATGTAGTCACAAAGATAGTGAGTTCGTGGCTTACCTCTCTTCACAGGCCTGTCACCTGGGAAAATAATCTTCACTAAACGTTATGTTTTTAATCTGTGCCAAACACTTGACTAAAAGCATTTTGGGTCTTACCCTACTTGGCTCGACACACAATCCTAATATGCAGGCTGTTACTCTCACCCTTGCCTTAGAGAGAGGGACACTTTAGGCAGAGTCCCTCTGACCTCACAAGGTGGGGAGCAGGGATTCACTGACCTCACAAGGAAGGGAGCAGGGATTCAAACCCAGGGAGGCTGACTGAATGTGGATGCACTAACCACCAGACTAGCCTTCCATGGAGAGGTCCCCTGGCCCCCAAAGAGGGTGGTGTGAATCCTGAGGGCCTTTCAAGATTGTATTCTACTTACCTGGGATTCTCTTCAAACCATCCACAGGTTCCAACCTCACACTGGCAAAGCACCTGTAATGAGTGAACGGAACCTATTCGTGATGTGCAGCATCTGATCTGAGCAAGCCTACACGGGAGACGGACCCTCTGGCTCCTCTGTGCTTGTGTTCTGCTGGGCTCCAGTAGCCAAGAGCTGGACCGCTGTTTCCAGCACCAGGCACTTACAGGTAGGTGCTTGAGTAAATGTTTTGGTAAGAATTTAGTTTTGGTCCATCGTTGAGAAGAGAGCATAATTAAGAAGTTTTGTTTTGTTTTGTTTTAAATAGACTATTTTTCAGAGCACTTTTAGATTCACAGCAAAATTGAGGGGACAGTACAGAGATTTCCCACGTCCCCCCACCCTGACACATGCACTGCCTCTCTCACTACCCACATCCCCCCAGATGGTGCAGCGTTACAAATGATGAACCTACACCCACCCATCATTATCAGCCAGAGCCCATAGTCGACATTAGGGTCACTCTGGGTGGTGTGCATTCTATGGGTTTAGACAAATGTATAATGACATGTATCCACCCTACAGTGTCACACAGAATAGTTTCACCGCCCTAAAAATTCCTCTCTGCTCTGCCCATTACTCCCTCCCCACCCAACCCCTGGCAAGCACTGATCTGTCTCCATACTTTTGCCTTTTCTAGAATGTCATGTACTTGGAATCATACAGTGTGTAGGCTTTTAAGATTGTCTTCTTTCACTTAGTGATACGCTCTTAAGGTTCCTCCATGACTTCTCATGGCTTCCTCGGTCATTTCTCTTTAATACTAACTAATATTCCACCGTCTAAGAAGGGCATACTTCTCATCTTACAGAAACGAAAAGCACTCTCTAGATCCATGGAATTCGGACTGAACGGGGGATCCACAAACACCATAGCATTGCTGGCACATTCTAGAATTCGATGTCCCTGAAGAGACACAGAAAAGGACTTTTTCTTCCTTAATGGCCACAGTAATGATCCCCGTAATAAAAATCAGCCGGATGGGCCCTGTCATCCGAAATGTAGGCTAGGTATTATGTATGCCGGGTCTCAAGAATGAGCTTCACGGGTAAGACGCTGGATATTTCACAAATGCTGACTTCAGATTTAAGGGCACTGGCTACTGAAATTGGAAATTCGTCATACTCCTTTAATGGGAAATGGGTAACCGCACTTGAACACCTCGTGAGCTCAATAAACCTTAAGCACACGATTTCAACCAGGATAGGGCATCAGCTTGCTGAGAAAAGGCAGAGGCACTGTGGGTGCCGAGCCCTCCCTCACATGCCCGTGGTGCAGGCCCCGCGGGCTGCTTGGGTGCGTGACTGAGGGTTACACAAGCTTACCCTTAGGAGGATTCTGGAGGCAGAACTAGGTAGGAGACCGGGGCTCCGGGCGCCGCTGAGAGGCAACAGCGCCACCTGCTGGGCCCGCGCGGCCCTGCGAGCGCGGGAGGGCGAGCGCGCCTGCGCAGGGGGCCCGGCGGCCGACTTCAGGCGCAGGAGGGGTGCTCCGCTCTGCCCCGGGCCGGGAGTTAGGCCCGATTGCAAGCGCATTAGGCCTTAGAGTAAAACGTGAATGTGAAGGGTGCTTCACTCATAACATCCGCCCGCTCAAATAGCCCCCCTGGACCGTCTCCATCAGCAACGGCAGCCAGGCCCGTAACCACACAGTCCATTAACCGCTCCGCGCGCTCGTGGTTCCTGCACAGAACTTGTCGTTACGGCGAAATATGATCATGAATTAAGCGAGAGAAGAAGGCATTTGGCCGTTTATTTCAAACCCAAGTCGGAACTAAGCCAGACTGAGCTTTTAGCTGACAAGTATTTAAAACAAAGGACTCAAAGTCCTACAAGTTTTTATAACTTTACAAAATTCGACTTGGACCCTTGTCCACCTGACTCCTTTACTCAGATTAATCACGTTACTTCCTGACCTCTGGGGAGAACTATGTATTGACCTCCAAACTCTTGAGACATTTGAGCATGGGAAGTGGGGTCCGAGTGTGTACGTAAAGCTTTATCGTTCACTTTATAGGGGTTGCCATTTAAAGCAAACAGCTAGACTCGATTCCCTTCCCGATTCCCAGATCTTCTGGAGATAAGAGGGAACACAGGGATCTGACACTTTGGGGATTCCCATTGTGTGTGCTGGTCCTTTCATCAGGGCTACTTTATCATCCTGTGAGCCCACGAGGCCTGAGAAGAGTCTCTGACCCACCCTTTAACCATGGATGAGTTTTTGGCTCTTATGCCAAACAAGGTCACAAGGCCAAAGCAAGATGCCCCCAAACATTTCTATGGCTTTGGAGCAATTACTGTGAAACTTTTTAGTGCAAACAAGCTTAACTCTTCATCAGGATCCAGTATGCATTTGCTTTGGGACAAGTCGATCTCCAGGACAGGGGGTGGAGGCCTCCCAGGTTCCATGGCCTCAGGAAACAGTGGACCCCTAGACGCACAGGATGTCTGTGAGATGGCGACTCTCTAGAGGTCATCAGCATGAGGGATGGAAAGGAAGAGAAGGCTCCTGTCACTTGGGCAAGGCAGTTCACCAAGTGCCTTGGTGGGCATGAGTAAAAATCCTATAACCTAGTCACACCAATGTATAGTACTCCTTCCTTACAGAAGAGGAAACTGAGGCTCAGGAAGGTGGACTGGTTTATGGACAGTCAGGGAATCAGCTAGAGAAAGAGTCCAGAGAGAGGCCAGGTTGACTCTCCCACACGGTCTCCCCCTCATGCTGCTTCCCTCAAGGCACAGAAAGCCCAAAGCTCACATCTGTGGTTGACTAAACTTCAGGTATAAGAAAAAAGAAAGAAGAAGAAGAAGAAGAAGGAGGAGGAGGAGGAGGAGGAGGAGAAGAAGAAGAAATAGAAAATCTCTGTTCTCTTATCAAACATTCCATCTTTTAAAGTAAGTTAAAGACAAAGTGTTGCCTTTAAATGCAGAATTATGGGCGCCTGGGTGGCTCAGTTGGTTGAGCGACTGCCTTCAGCTCAGGTCATGATCCTGGAGTCCCGGGATCGAGTCCCGCATCGGGCTCCCTGCTCGGCGGGGAGTCTGCTTCTCCCTCTGACCCTCCCCCCTCTCGTGTGCTCTCTCTCATTCTCTCTCTCAAATAAATAAATAAAATCTTTAAAAAAATAAATAAATAAATGCAGAATTATCAGGTCCAAATGACATCCTTAATTGACCTTGGTTGGTTGCTGTTTGTGTTTTCTTAGTTTCAGTTTAAAGAACTAAGAGCAAAAGTCCATATTGTTTATTCTGTTCCCAGCCTCAGCTTCTCCTCTTTTCTTCCTCCCCCACCCCCAGCCTTGTCAATTTGTAAACAAATCAGAAAATCCCCAATGGGCTGAAAACCTGTCCATACTTTACTCCAGCTGGGAAGAATTGTGCTCCACCAAGATTCAGACCCCGTTTATAATGGAAACCCTGACGGGCAATGTTGTGATTATAGTCTTGCCATAATGAATGTATCTGTGTGGTCAAAGTCACGGATTTTTCCATGGTATTTTTTCCATGGGAGATTTCCTCCCTGAGAGCTGTTAACTTAAAATCTGGATTATAGCTTTGACTTTAGAGCAGGATCTCTCCTGGCATCGATATAGCTTGAAGTTAGTGATTATATTGACTTTGGTAGGCCTGATTGGCAAGGGGGATATTAGTCAAATTGATTTTTTGCAAGATTGATGAGGGTAGGGGATAGGGATCTGGTGGTATAGAAATTTATGTCAGGAAACTTGTACACTTTCCCAGATTTTTAATCAGGGAGTATGTTCTCTCCTCTCTGAGCTGGTGGCTACATAAAAGGACAAAAAGTGAATAGGGGCTGACAGATATTAGGGTGACCAGCCACCCCAATTGGCCTGGGACTATTTGGTGTTAGCCCTAAAATCTTGCATCCCAGAAAACCCTCCAGCCTCAGGCAAACCAGGATAGTTGGTCACCCTAAATAGTATGGAAAATTGAATTAAATTCAGGAGAGCAGGAAAGTAATAGCCTTATTTCAAAGAATAACCAGACTGAGGTTTAAAGTAAAATCCTTCCTTGATGCTTAAAATACTTAAGTATAATCAGCATTTAGCTTGAGAATGTATTCAGGAAACAGCTCAAAAAGAATGTACAAATCTTATGGTTGGTGCGGCAGAATATAATGTGAAAAACCAAACAAACCACTATTCTAGCTAACAATTTCAGAGGTTAACCTCTCTTCTGCTCTTTTGGAGGCATAAGCAGAACAAGGCATCGTGTGGGGGTTTGGGTCCCCCCTAGGAGGCTGCGGCCAAGGGTCCCACCACCTAGAGTGTTTCCACGGTATCTTGGCTGCACTCTAAACACTTCTTCTCTCTGCTAGAACAAGAAAAGGATGCAGGAGAGAAGGAAGTCAGAGGCCCATCAGGGGAGCTGGGGTCCCCTACCTGAGCCCCCACATAATGCCCCACCCAAGGGTGTCCCTTTCTGGTCTCAGTTGTTCTGTTTGCCTTTCCAAGGGCTGCAAAAGCCACCTTTAGGACTGCCTGAGGTGAAGAGAAAGGAAGGAATACAGAATCCAAACTAAGGCAGACATGGCCAACACCAGAGCCAAAAACATTGGTCCAGGGAGCCCTGGACAAGCCTGTAGAGTGTTGAGAGGAAATGGATATCAGCCCTCCTTTTTGATGTGTAAAAAGATATGTCAGGACATGAATATCGAACCTATCTCTGGAGTCATAAACGCCGAGGCTTTGGAGTATGTCTAATATCTCTTTCTGGATTTGTAAATTCAGAGCCTTGTTAGATGTGCGTTAACTTGGCCACGAAGTCCAGGCCCCGGGGCTGGAGAAACGGGGCGCAAGGGAAGCGGCCCGCGGGGCTGGACTCTTCCCTCACTCCACGGAAGGTGGGCTTGGCCACATGACTCATTGAGGCCACAGAGCGTGGCAGGACGGGCAGTGTGGCCTGAATTTCCGGCCAGCGCATCCACAGCTCCTCTCCCCGGGATGGAGAGCGCATGGCGCTCTGACTGGCAGCCCGACGCTGAGCCCCGAGGAGGACCCGCAGACCCCGGAGGGGAATGTAAGTGCTCCTTGCTAGATGCCACTGTTGTGTTTGCTTCGCATCCAAAGCTCACACAGGCCCCTGCTTTGAACGAGGGAACTTCACCTCATCTCACCGATCTGATTCTGTTTCAGTCGTATGGCCCCACACCTGTCATAAAGCAGCTGTGACAAGGTGGTCACAAGGGCTCTTTGTTTTAGGCTCCCTGCTGATGTCATGGGAGTGCAGAAGACAGAGAACTTCCATTCTCATTTTTCTGCTTTTTTAAAATCAAGGTATAACTGATATACATTATGTTCGTTTCAGGTGTACATCCTAACGATTTGATGTTTGTATATATTGAAAAATGATCACATCTGTCACCACATAGTTACAATTGTTTTTGTGCTTCTTAATAGAAGTACCTGCCCCTTTATCAGAGTTCCGATTACCCCATGGGAGCGGAAGAGCGGCTGTCTTGTTCTTAAAAGATCAGTCTTCTCCAAAAAGGCAGGGGGTTTGTAACAGTTTTACAAACACCCGCTTCCAAAACGGCTTGTTCAGGGAGCTCCTGGCTGGCTCAGATGGTGGAGCGTGCCACTCTTGATCTCGGGGTCTTGAGTTTGAGCCCCACGTTGGGTGTGCGATTACTTCAAAAAGTAAAATAATAAAAAACAAAAACAAAATGGCCATTCAGAAGCATTGCTTATGGAAGTACAATCCTTGGTCATCCAGGAAAAACCTAGAAATTCAATTCCACTTCCTGGGTATTCACTGAGCGATTGCCATGAGCCGCCCATGGGCTTACTTACTTCCCAGGGCAAACAGCTGAAGCAGAGAGCTGGCTGCAACCATCATGCATTCGCTGTAGAAACATGGGCATCGACCCTTATTTCCCACAGGTTCTGGAGAGCCCAGGGTTCCCTGCTTTTTAGAAACAGCAGTGAAGGTAGTATTTGTCTGGTCTGTAGTGTTTTGTTTCTTTTTTTAAGATTTTATTTATTTATTTGAGAGAGAGAGAATGAGAGACAGAGAGCACGAGAGGGAGGAGGGTCAGAGGGAGAAGCAGACTCCCTGCAGAGCAGGGAGCCCGATGTGGGACTCGATCCCGGGACTCCAGGATCATGACCCGAGCCGAAGGCAGTCGCTCAACCAACTGAGCCACCCAGGCGCCCCTGGTCTGTAGTGTTTAAGGATACTGGTAGTCAGTCCCTTTCTTGCATCCTCTGTGGCTTCATGGGATAAGAAGGAAGTGAACTAGCCTTAGAGAAATCAAGAAAGCCACATGGGCAGGTGCAACAGCAGACGTAAGATAAATACCCTCGAAGCCAAGGCCACGGGAGCGACACACGTGTTTTGAAGCTCTGGCTGCTGGGCACTTAGGAGGTGGTGATGACAATCCAGTAGATCCAGTATAGAGTGCTGAGCTCAGCAAGCAGAGGGTAAGCTACTCCTAATATTCTAGGGAGGAAAGGAGTAGCCTCTGACGTGTGGGAGCTGGTCTGGTGCCCACATTCCTCCGAGCCCTTTGTCCCACCTCTCACTGAGCCGCCCCCACGGGGTACACCCCCCCTGGCTGCAAAGGGTCACGAACCCACCTGCTTCAAGGTCAGGTGGCCCCTGGTGCTCTTGACCTGAAGGCATTGGCCTTTCCCTCTAAGAGTATCATACTTGTGCCCCACACATCCCGAGCACAGAGATGAAGACACGTAGTGTAGAGAAGTGAAACCCTCTGTCCTGTAACCGTTTCTTCAGGGGTGCGAGGGCATTCGGTCCCTGGGGAGCCTTCGGGAGGGTCCTGGCCCAGAGAAGCGCCTTCTACTGTCCTGGGCAGAGTCTCCAGTGCCATAGCCCACACCTTCCTGACAGAGTATCCCCTTGGCCAAACGCTGCTCAGGCTCCCCTGAACTTTCCAACGAGGCCTACTTCCACACTTCTCTCTGCTTTGTCCAGTTTTAGCAAGAATCCTGCTGCGTCGCTATTAGCAGAATCCTCCACGCTCAAGGTCTCATCCCCTTCTGTATCTGGTCAAATTCCCCAGGCCCCACCGGCCCCAGGTGAGGTCGGACCACCTGGCCTGCCTTCAGCGCAAACCCTGTTAGGTTGGTTTAGCCAGTCTTTCCCTTACCCCTCAGGCTTCCTCTCGGTACACTTCCATCCACTGACCCCACTCTGTTCCTTGACCCTCAGTTCCCACTTGTCCATGCTGTATCCGGAATGGAGTCCAGGTGTAGACTTTTCTCTTAACCCCTATTGCAATGGTCCTCGATATCATCTGCTTTTACTGCTTGCGCTTCTGCCCGGCTCTGGTTTGTCTCTGACGCTCCTTCCGCCAGGCAGCGGCTGGGGGCTCCTACAGGTACCTGTCGTACCGACGTTCAGAGCCGCTGTCTGCTATCTCCCTTGGCGTCTGTGGCCAGCAACAAGGACAATGACAATCTGACAGCTCACTGCGAAGTCACACTACACTTCCTCTCTGACGCCTGACTCTCGTCCCTGAACCCAGAGGTGTTTGGGAAAGCTAGAGCGGACCCCCCGCAGACAGCGCCCAGCCCTCCACGTGGGCTCTGCCTTCTGCTCCTGTGGTTTCTGACCGCACTTCTTTAACCAGCTCTGAAGGAAGGCTTCCAGAGACATTGGAAACGCTTGTCCCCAAGAACCCGCTTTAGGGGAAAGCTGAGATCACAAGTAGCGTCTCACATGGAACAGAGGAGGGAAAACAGTAATGAAGTGTGAGGTCAGCGGTGGAGAGGAGCCACCTGACTCCAAGTCGCTGGCCGGCTGACCTGCGGGAAGGAGGGCTGTGTATTTAGCAAAATACTAAGGCCTAGGATCGGGCTGATGTTGGCTATGGTGGCAGGGAGGGGCCGCGTGGCCGGCTGAGGGGAGGACTCTGCCCTCCTCCCAGAGTGGGATGTCTGCGGAGTCGCCTGCCTGCCTTCCTGAGGTGAGGCTGGGGTCCCCTCGGCCGTGGCACTGAAGTACAGCATGGAGCTCTCCTGTCCTTCCCCTCCTCTCCGCCCACCCGCACCTCTGCTCCTTCCTTCGGGCTGTGCTCCCTCCATGCGGATGACTGCTTCTGGGCAGGAGCTGGGTCATGGCTGTCACTGGCAAAAGGGACCAAACTGGAGGTTTCCAACAGGTCCGCCTCTGAGTTCAGGACACCTTGAAACTCAGAGCCTTTCTCTGAGGACAGGGGGTCCTGAGGTGACAGTGGGAGCTCTTGCTGGGGAAACAGGGGTGTCCTCTGCTGGGTGTAGTGCTGGTTCAGCCCCCACGAAGGGGGACGAAAGCAGCCAGGACTGTCTTCTCCAAAGGCTGCACTGATCTTAGACCCATTTCCTGTTTCTAGGGCAAGTTTCACCAACAGCCAGTGATGATGACTGAGGAAACAATCCTCCAGAGCAGTCTGGCTTTCCAGCCCAGCCTCTGGGGGTCCCCAGGGTGGGCCGGGGGCCTTCCCCAGACTGGCGAACTCGTGACTTTTCTCCTGGCGTGTGCCCGGGCTCCCTGGCCTCTCCCCAGCTGGAGCCAGGGCCCGGGAGAAGTTTCTGTCTCTGCTTTATCAGCCCCTGGATGCCCCACGACTCCTGGACGGACACAGCCCTGCCAGATGCCTGTGGGTCCAGGGTGTAGCGGTCTGTGATGAGTTAGCGAGACACTGCCTGAGAAAGAGGCAGAGAAAGAAGAGCACAAGGTTATGTTCCTTGAAGTCCTGCATCTTCCCCGTGGTCTGAGAACTCCAGACTCTGGAATTCCGAGTAGGGGAATATAATTGGGATCCCAAACAGGACTGTTGGAGTATCAGAGCTGGATATTCTGGGGGAAGTTAAGGAGGCTTCAGCTTCCACAAGCTGCAAGTGTTTCTAAACGGAAAAACGTAATAACAAAGTTTAATCCTATCGATACTATGACTTTTTTCTCTAGGGCAGCTCTAACTGAGCACTCTAGGTGTGTGTGTGCGTGTGTTTGTGTGTGTGTGTGTGTGTGATGTCCAGTAGAAAGGCTCATTTTACTTTCAAATAACTGGATCAAATGCTCAGAATGCAACCATCCACACACCAGAGGATGGACTCCAAAACTAGGGGAGGGAGAGGCAAGGAATAACCTCAAACACAAGACCCAAGTAAAGGTTAAACATATCCATCAAAAACCCCATCTCAAGGAGTTTCCATGCGGAGCAACAACACTTCCTTTGAGCATAAACATCTTAATCACGTTGTTGTCAGTTTAATTTATTTTGATCAGAAGTGTTGACTACGGCAATAATTTCTTTAACAGAGCATTCCAGTAACCTCCCACGTTATTTCCAGTTTCCTGTTGTACTAGATCAAGTGCCGGGTTTCAAGGCGCTCATTATAAACAGCAAGAAACCTGGAGTAGAAGCGGGGGGGAAGCGCCCGAGGGGCTGGCAGACTGCGGTGTGGGGGAGCTGGGGGAGCCGACAAATGACCCCTTGGATCCTCTCCGACTACTTTCGGGGGATGAGGCATGGGGGGTCACAGTGGGCCTCCAGCAGGGGAGTGGAGACAGCATTCCTGTGGGATGAGTGGTGGCTCTGTGGTGGGTTCCCCTCAGCCACTTCTACACATTATTTGGAATTCTCACAATGATGTCACCCATCTTTGATAATGAGCCACCCAAGGTCAAAAAGGGGAACTAGCCCCCCTCCTCAGGCAAGTCCAAAGTACATGCATCTAATGAGTGACCTTTCCATGGGGCCACATCATTCATAAGGTTCTGGGTTGCAAACCCAATCTGGCATGCAGTAGGTACTCAATAAATGTTGGTCAGGGGAGCTCAAGATGTCAGCCAGAGCCATCTGCTTCAGAACTTGTACGCCTTTGCCGACAGCTCACCCACCATCTTCCTGCTGAGGACTCCCTCCAGGGCCACTTGGGAATCAGGGGTTTGGGCAGCTCCAGAAAGAGGGGGAGAAGGATCAGCAGCTGGGTCTGTCTGAGCCCCTCAGGCTGGGAGCTGACCCTTGCCCCCAGCTCCCCGCTCACCATGCCCTGGGTCACTGAGAATGAAAACATCTTTCCTCCCCCGTCCCTCCCACTTTTATTTTTATTTCCCAAGCGTAGGGAGGAACGCCCTCTCAAGCTTACATTCATCTGTTAAGCCAAGTTAACACAGTGGGCATGGTGCACTCGGAGTCATTCATTCATAAAGTCAAGCTAATGAACTAAAACTGCCAGGCACTGTCCCAGATGCCAGATTGGAGCGGGGTGTGAATCCCAGCTCCACCACCTACAGAATGTCTGATCTTATGGGACATTACCTGACTTGCTCTGTGCCACCTTCCTCAGCTCTGAATTGGGGGTAATTCAGCGTCCACGTCCCGGGGTTCTTGTTGGTAAGTAGCACGTGGTGTCTTGTCTGGGGGTCCTTGCTCTGCTCCCCCCGTGCTAGGATGCTGAGTGGGGAGGGACAGGGAAGACTCATGTTTAACCCCAGCCAGAACCCCAGGGAGGAGGCCCCGCCCACGAGTCCTTACGGATAGAAGTGGACAGTTTGGGTCCAGATTTGCTTGGGTTCTACTTCTGATGCCCTGGTGGGGACCATCGGCAGTCCAGTGAGCTCCACTCCTTGCTCTCCACCTAACTGCTTCTGAGGAGCTTCCTGCTCTTAGAGTTAGGGCATCTTAAAGAAACAAGTTGGGGTTGGGGAGGGAGGGAACAATAAGGCAGCGTTGGGCCTTACCAATCAGAAATCTGGACAAGACTCCAGCTACGGTCCACAGGCTGGTCTGGGAGGCCCCCTGGAGAAAGGCAGTGGACAACAGCAAAAGGAGGATGTTCTCCAGCAGCATAGTCTACGGGACCAAAAGGAGAGTCACCACCCCTAGTCAAGTGCACATGGCCTCAGGGACACTCCCATCCTAAATTCTGCAGCAGTATCCTTCAGTGTTGGAAGCTTTGTCCTCAATGCCCACTGGGGTGCCCACGGCTGACTGGGCCCCCCTAGAAGCAGGGTCAAGGTCTGAAAGAGCTTCTCTGGCAAAGGGGGATTCTCCTGGTTCTCAGTGCAGTTTATTAAAATATCTGCAGAATCATAAATGCACAGGGAATAGAAGGGCATAGTCCACGTGGCTATGGTGGTTCCCTTTGCTGAGTCAGGCGGGGCTGAGAGAGGAGACTTTTATTTCCAACTTTATACATTTCATATTCTCATGTGAACTGTTCACGTGTCCTAGTTTTATGATGCAATAATTCAAAGTATCTGCAGGGCTCACAGTGCCACTGAATTCCAGTAAACTAGTGTCCCAAACTTTTATAACAACTTTAGTATACTTTAGTATTGCTTTGTCGATTATATGCCTCTTTAAAGGTAAATTTGGCCTGTGGCCTGGTAACAGCACTCCTGATGGCTGAAAATGGGGCCTTCCTCCACGGTCAAAATGGCGGCGGCTTCTACAGAAGGCTCTTTGTACCCCTCACCCAGGCGGGCTTCTTAACTTTGGTTTCCAGTTTGTTTGTTTTTAAGATTTTATTTATTTATTTGAGGGAGAGAGAGCAGGGGGGGAGAGGGAGAGAGAATCTGAAGCAGACTCCATGCTGAGTGCAGAGCCTGATGTGGGGCTCGATCCCACAACCGCAAGATCATGACCCAAGCCGAAACCCAAGAGTCCGACACTAACCCGTGGAGCCACCCAGGTGCCCCTGGTTTCTAGTTTTTATATATAAATATATATTTCTTAGGATAAGTAAACAAATTGGACATAATTAGAAGGTGGTATATTTAAATACTGTGTATGAGGTAATACTATTAGGCCAAAAGTCTTAGAAAGCTTTGCTGTGGTCATTCATGGGCACCATTTTAACTCCAGAAAAGTAAAATAAGGAGGGAATTGAAAGCGTTATGAAGAGCTACTCAACAATCCTGAGAACGCCCACTCTCCCCAGGCCTTCCGGCTCTGGGCGGCACTGTTTGAAAGGTCCAGCAGGTATTATTTCAGGACTCAATGCCACAAAACTTGGAATTTCTCTCTCTCCTTAAATTAACTGCATCTCATCAGCTATCTGGTCCTGCTGAGTCAAATTCTTAAGTTTGTCTCAAATCCATTGCGTTTTTCCTGTCCTCACAGCCGTTTTCATGGCAGTTCTGATCCTATTGCTTCCTGTCTGAGTCCTGTGGTTTCCTGTCTTCATTCCCTGTTCATGGTCTCTCGTCCACACCACTGCCAGGTGATCTGTTTCACCTGCAGATCAGACCTTGTCATCCCTCCCTAACACACCTGGAAGTAGCCCCATCTCACCTGAGGGGCATCAAGACCCCACTCCTTGACAATGCGGGCAATCCTGTTTACAATGCATCCCCAGTCTTCCTTTGCAGAGTCATCTTCCAACCCGCGCTCCCACAGGGACTGTGCTGGCTACCGGGATGGGCCAACCTGCCTGAGCTAAGGGATGCCCGGGGGCTGGTAAAACGTTATTTTGGAGTGTGTCTGTGAGGGTTTCCAGAAGAGGTTAGCACTTGAATCAGTAGACTGAGTAAAGGACCTGGCCCTTACCCCCTCACCAGGGCAGGCAGGCCTTGTCCAATCTGTGGAGGGTCTGAATAAAACAAAAAAGTGGAGGGCACCTGGGTGGCTCAGTTGGTTAAGCGACTGCCTTCGGCTCAGGTCATGATCCTGGAGTCCCGGGATCGAGTCCCGCATCAGGCTCCCTGCTCGGCAGGGAGTCTGCTTCTCCCTCTCACCCTCCCCCCTCTCATGTGCTCTCTCTCTCATTCTCTCTCTCTCAAATAAATAAATAAAATCGTTAAAAAAAAAAAAGTGGAGAAAGGGCAATTCTCTCTTTTCTTGAGCTGAGACATCCATCTTCTCCCTTCCTTGGACATCCAAGCTCCTAGTTCTCAGTCTTTTGGACTCGGACTGAATTACACCACATTTTCCTGGTTTTCCCACTTGCAGAAGGCATACTGTGGCCTACCTCAGCCTCCAAAATTGTGTGTGCCAATTCCCACAAATCTCCTCTCATGCATGTCTATTCAGCCTATCAGTTCTGTTTCCCTGGAGAACCTTGACTGACACAACACCACCACCAACAAAGACTCTCTCCTTGACCAAACCTGGCTCAGATCGGCATCTCGAAGCCCTCTTCTTGCCTCGGCCTTAAGCCTGGCCTATACAAATTGCAGGCATGTGGTACAAATGCCTTTGTCAACCACCCCTCCCCCCCCAACACATTAAGAGACTTGAACAAACACTCCCATAGCTCCTAACAACTCAAGGCTGCCTCCCTAGGGTGATGAACTGGCCCCAGTTCAGTTTCTGCCTAAGAAAGCTAACACCGCCAGGAAGATTTACTCTCTGTTCCAGCCAAAATCTGCTGAAAGGCAGAGAGGCCGTGAACCCCCTCTTAGATGAGTTACTTTGGAAAGCTTGCACGTACAAATCCCCGTCTCTGCGTCTCTGAGGTGTAACTCCTCTGCCACCCAGAATTGCCTCCTCAAGGACCAGCGAGCTGTCTCTCTGACATACCAACGCTCAAGAACACCCTCCCGGCCCAGGGGTGGGAGGGCAGCCTGCTCTAACTTGCATGAACACCGCCGCCTGTCATGTGAGAAGTGAGCTCCTCCTCCCGATAAACGCAGATGGCAGTCACCTTAACCACCCCCTTTCCCGCTGTTGATAAATTTCCATCTCCCTGACCCTGCTCAAACGTCCGATGTCCCCCCCCCCAGTCCATGCCCCCATCCTCCCTTAAAAATGCCCAGCCACCGCCCCACAAACAGATTTACGTCCGTTCTTCGCTGTTGCGACGGACTTAATAAACTTTGTTTCATCGCCTTTAACCAGTAGTCTGGCTCTGCTCGTCTGATGCCACCCACGCTCCTTTCCCGCGGGCTCCCTGACACTCCGTCTTGTTTCTGCAGCTTTGCCTGAAATGGCCCCTCCTCCCCACCCCCTTTTCTTCCGGCCGGGCTCATCCCCCGAGACCAGCTCGAATGCCCCCTTTTGTAAAGCCTTCTCGGACGCTCTCTGTCGGCCTCTTGTATTCCTGCGGGGTGGTCTCCGTCACAGAGCTTGCGTTCATGGGTCTGTGTCTTTGGGGCCCCTGAGGCTCCACCTGCCCACACGCCGGCCTCTGAGTCCACTTCCAGCACATGGAGGAAGCTGTATGTGCACGCTTAAGTGAGTGAGCTGGTAACAAGTGGAAGACATCAAACCTGGCTTTGCAGGGCATTCACAAATCATCCAGAGGCCGGCCGCCTCCTCTGGAAGGGAAGGGAAGGCGAGGCGTTCTCAGTTAGGCTGGCCATCAGCACCACCTGACCCTGCTTCCAAAACACCGATTCCAGGGTCTCCCTCAGACCTGTTGGGCCTGAATCCCTGGCAAGGCCCCTGAGTGCCTCCGACAGCCAGCCAGGCTGAGAAGTGGGGGCACAGAGGCCCCGAGGCCCTCCCAGCTCAAACGCTCTCAGCTCCACCGCCCAGCCGCGTGGCTTGCTGGTTATAGCTGGGCTCATAGCATCAGACCACCTGGATCTGAACACCGCCTCTGTCTGCCCAGATGCCTGACTTTCCATGCCTCAGTTTCTGTACCTGTAAAGTGGGTTTCATCTCATTGAGTGCTGTGAGAAGTAAGACAGTTAATGAGCTTAGAACAGTGTCTGGTGCATGATGATCCTGCCCAAAATGTTAGCAATTACTAATGATTCTGTTGTTACTCCCAGGACCTGAAGACGAGAACAAGAGGTCATAGGAGAGTAGGAAAAAGTTCTAGCACAGAACCTACAAAACTACAAATGCTTCATACTTCTGTTGAGTGAATCAATGAAAGAGGAAGTCCAGAAGTTCCTGCTTTGACCTTGGGGGCACGGTTTCCATTATTTAAGCAAAGCCATTAACCATTAAAAAACAGAGCTACTCCAAGCCCCCAGGCCCATCCTCCTTAGAAAGTGATTTCTAAGTACTCTGTGGTCTTTTGGCTTTTGGAAAAACAACAACAACTTTCTCTTTGCCAACAAAACACAATTTACCCCAAAGGAGTCACTTTCTCTCTGGGTCAGGGCTCATGTGTCTTCCAGGGAAGGTGCCCGCTGGGGAGGGGCGAGGTCCATGAAAGGACAGCGTGGCAGGCCTGCCATTTACGGGGTGTTGGCAGGAGGCTTGGACCAGACACCCAGGGATCAGGGCCCGGCCTGGGCAACATCGCCGGCCGGCTGGTGACCCTGGACGTGGCAGGTCACCTCCGTGAGTGGAGTCCCCGGCTCCGATGAGCACGCTCAGCACCCCATTAGGCCGAGCGGAGCCTGAAGGAGTCTGTAAGTCACCCGGGTGAGGGCCATATGGCATGCCTGCACTCCAGTGCGGTCCACTTTCTCTCCTTCCCACTTACCTGCTCTGACCTCTGGGTTCTCGTGACCGAGTGAGCGGCTGGGAAGGACAAAGTTTTGTTTCCCTTCCTCCCGTAACAGCCTCTCAGACTCCTGGGGCTAGGACAGTGACAGACGGCAAATGGAAACCCTCTCCGCGTGTCCCTCCAGCTCATCAGGCACGCTGGCAGGGGGACACCCTGCTCTGCAAACGCTAACTCTCTTTTATTTGCGTGCGTGGAGTGGGCTGGAAGCTGCTGCACCCCCAAGCGGGGCCAGACCCTGCGTGTTCCTCGTCCTCCCGCACAGCGAGATGGGCACGCTTACTCCTCGTTCTCAGACGTGGAAATTGAGGCTTGCAGAGGCTCCATAACGTGTCCAACACCACACATCCTCACGGTCTGTGGGCCCCATGGCCTGTGGTTGATCACCTCCTAAAAGCAGGAGGTGACCACACCACCCGCCTCTCCTGGACAGGAGCTGCCCCTCCTGCCCCTTCCATTTGCTCATGGCTCCGTCCTGCAGGGTCTGCTCCCCTGAAAGTCTCTTCCCCCATTCATCATCAATAATGGCCATGAGGCGCTGGTTCTTGTGCCCCAAGTTACTTATTTACTCTTCACAGGGGACCCCGGGAAGAAGGTGGATCTTATATAATCGTCACAGCAACACCAAGAGGCCTTGTTCTCAATGTGTGATGAAAAAACAGGTGTGGAGCGTTCCAGTCCCCGGCCAAGTGGGCTGGTAACAGTGAAGGGCGAGCCACAGTCCCAAAGCAAGCTGCCTGATCCCAAAATCTGTGCTCTGCAGTGCCGGCTACTTTTTCTCTCCCCCGCTCTTGGCAACGCAGCTTGGCTTCCACCTTCTGGTCCAAAGCATCTCTGGTCATCCCGGCAGGAAGTGATCCTCACCGTCCTTGTGAGCTCAGGCAATCTTATCTCCTAGGATTTACCCACATTCTGCTTTGTTGTTTGGTTATCTGGGTATGGAGTTTATCCCCCTGCTGGACTAGAAGAAGCCTGAAGACAGGCCTCCTGTCACCTTCGTGCCTTCTGCACAGTCTAGGGCCATGCCTGGAACCCAGTAATGATGGAGTTGATGAACAAGGACACCGTGTATGTGACTTAACATAGCTGAGCTGTGATGCTAGCTATCAGACGTAAAGAGTGTCTACAAAACACAGTTCTTGCTACGGTGACCACCGTGCAAACAACTGGATGTCCCGGTACCATCTTCAGAGCTTGTCATCATCTCTGTTCAAGATCCAAGCTCCTTTTAGAAGGCTTCCTAAGACTAAGCTGTTCCTTCTTACATAGCTGTGTGTACACGAGTACACACACACACCCATGCCCTCTGTACATAGAAAATGAGCACATTTAGGATTAAAGAAAGCCATCATCCCCACTTGCCATGTAAAACATGGCCATCCGATGTCAGGAAGGGCTGTCCCAGAAGTTGAGGTAGCAGAGGATGTACCCGGCCCCCACGAGCAGGTCGAACAGCTTCCAGTGGCAGATGCTGTCTACGATGTCACTCCTCTGTGCCACCAGCCAGAAGGTCATCACCAGCCCGTGGGCACCTGGAGGGAGGCAGGCCGAGGACGTCAGCGTCCAGGAGGGGAGGGGGCGGGGCAGGGACACGGAAACCAGGGCCTCGGAGCTGTCCTCTCTGCACTGACCACACCTGACTCAGCATCCAGTGATTCGACAGGAAACCCACACCTTTTATCTTTGCCCCTATTGTCTCACTGGATCCTCACAGTGGGTAGTGAACTGATGTGGGGATGAAAAACAAAGACTAGCTTCAGTAACATCTTGCAAACCTCACTTCCTGATGCCCTTCGAGTTCAGGAGGTGTTGAAGGAGGCAGTTAGGAACCCCCCGTCTCCCTATGTTTTTAGTCATTGCTTCAAGCCGCAAGCCTCCACGTCCAAAGAGAAGAGCTATATGTGATCCAGCTGTAATTTCTAGTCCCACATTTTAAGATGGATAATACCTAACTGAAGTTGGAGCAGAATTTTTTAAAATGAATAAAACAGTTAATCTTTCTTTAGGAGCACAATTTCTTTAAAAAAATTTCTCCTTTCTGTTAACACGTGTATTAAGGCTCAAGTCTAAATATTTCTCAATGCCTCCTATTCCCTAGAACGTGAGTACACTGTTCCTTGTTGCCGAGTGTATTTGCTGATGTCCAGAAGAGATACCTCTCCTTGGCAGGGACACCCAGATCCCTGCAGGACTCCTGCAGGGTCACGCAGACCCCGTGGCCACCACTCTCATCCTCATGCGTCTAGACCGAGGGCTGGGGGCGGGGCTTGGCTCAGTGCAGGTGCCCTATTGGAGACAGAGAAGAGGTCCAAAAGCCAGCATTCAGAAGAAATGGAGGGCTTTCAGAAGCTGTGCGTGACATCAAAGTATGTACTGTATATTTTGTATCGTGTCGGGACAGGCAGGACCCTATGCCTGTTTGTCTACAGAAGAGATTTCAGCCCGTGATACAGAACACGGTCTGTGTCGTGTATCGTGAGCACAATTGCAGCTGTGCTCTGGACTTGGCCGGGCATCGGGGCTGGGCTCCCTAAGCTAAGGGAGTGTGTCTGCAAAGAGAGGCACCCTAGGCTCCTCCCCTCCATGGACGCTCATGGGGGATGGAGTCCATTCCTCCATGCTCTGACTCTGGACTGGCCATGACTACTTGGACACGGAGAATACGGCAGAAGCCATGCTGACCCAGGGCCTGGCCAGTTTTAAGAGGACTGACAGCTTCTGTTTGCTTTCTCTCAGAATTCCCAGCTGCCGTGTCCACAGCCTCAGCTGCTCTATTGAGGAGAAAGTGGGCGCCCCGGGGTGCCAGGCATGTGAGCAAAGACGCCGTCTGTACGGCCAGCCCAGTGAAGCCTCCTTATGGACCCAGACACCTGCCGCCCTACTGCACCCACCTGAGATCCCCCACCCCCTGGCAAGAACCCCCCAGGTGCCCAGCGAGCCCCCCAGAACCGAGGTGGTTTTAAGGCATCAAGGTCTGGGGTGCTTTGTTACACAGCCACTGACAGCCTGCTTACCTCCAGAAACCAAAACCCAGATGTGGTAAGCTCTGAAGAAGAGAACCAGGCTCAGGACACGGACCCCCAACATGCCCATCCTCCAGGGCTGCTGGTAGAAGAGGGTGGCCCATGGCGTGAGGAGCTGACCAGCTTCATGAAGCCCATGCAGTAGGCATGGCACACCAGGGCCCAGGCCAGCGCGGCCCAGGAGCACAGCGTGCTCAAACCTGGAGGGGGAGCGGACAGCAGCGGTGTTTGTGGGGCGCCTAACCTCTCCATAAAACCTGGCTTCCCCACGGGCATCCCTAACCAAGCACCTGAATGGGTGGACAACACCACCCTGTGTACAGACACGCACGCCTACGCATAGGAAGCAACAAGGACGCGTGGGAGATATTTTCTCTGCATGATGCAGTGGGTGCTCCTCCCCAGCAAGGGAGCGGGGCTCTTCCCTTGTCCGCCCTTTAGGAAAAGTGGCCGAGTCCTTGATCCTCTAAGCCCTCCCGTCGAAGCTCTGTCAATGATGAAGCAGTTAGATGGCCCTGACCATGGTATTCCCTCCCAAATGCACTTTGCTGTTCAAGCCCTAGGAAGCAGGTTTAGGCACAGCAATAAAACAATAACACAAATTGTGCTGGGCCCCACCATAGGGACGACCAGAAGGACAGGGCTGTCATGACTTGCATGCATTTCATGTAAGCACACATAAATGTGGATGCTCGGAAAAAGAGAGGAGGAGGAGGAGGATGCTGGGAAAGAATCAAGATGTGACCAAGAGAAAACAAGACACAGAGAGCCTTCACTGCAGAAAATGCAGGTGGGACACACATTCACTGGATCAGAGTTGTTCTCAGTCTCCACAAGGCTCTCAGGCTCAGGCCTCTGTCTGCGTCCAGTCAGGCCAGTGACTGAGGACGCGGGAGAAACAGGCACACAGATCCTACAAAGGAGCCGTGTGGGGTCCCTTCCCAAGGTGTTCCCAGGGTAATGTGACCATCTACAATTTCTACTGCGTGGACTGACCCCCACCAAAGCAGCCAGCCCCAAACAAAAGCCGATTCGAACCATCGTCTTGTGCTGGTGAGTGCGGGCTGCCCTCTTTCTCCCCAACAGGGGAAATCATCGATTGCCAGGATTTACTTACATCAGGCATTCCTTTGCGTTCCCCTTGTGAAGTCAGGCGGTCCGTGCTCGGGGGTGGGCTTTTCTCACCTGGCACAGTATCTGTGAAGTCCAAGGCGAGGAAAACATGCGTCTGGAGCAGCAGGTGGGGCCCCGGCTGCATCAGAGCTTCCAGGAAGGCGGGGGGCAGACAGGTCAGCCTCCTGCAGGAGCACCTGGTCTCGGCAGGAGGCTTCCCGCTCTTTCGATAGAGCAGTGGACGCAGCATCCCAATGCCTGAGGAAGAGCAAGGGCCCGGGGTGCAGAGTCAGACATTGACAGTTTCAACAGGATGCCCCACACCCCTTTTCCTGGCCGATCAGTGACAGACACCCAGCATTCTAGAACAAGCTGCCCTGTCCAGGCATCAGAACCCCTGAGCTGGTGATCCTGCTCCACAAGGCCGGCCAGAGGCCCACTCTGCCCACATGTGGGCGGGATCGGGGTGGCGCGATGGGAGCCTGGACCAGACAGGCTTGCTGGGGGCTGCTCTGGGCCCTGCAAGGTCTGGCGCTAACCCTGACCTGTGTCTTCCACCCCAGGACTTCTTGGGATGGGAATTAATTGGCTCAACAAATGCGTGCTGCAAGGCATCATGCTGTCCTTGCTTTAGAGCACAAGGAAATGAGAAAACTCTCATCCTCATTGTCACAGAACGTGGAACTTTGTGTGTCTCTGCAGCTGGGGCAGGCACAGGGCAGAACAAGGAAAGAAACGGGGGCTTCCCTGGGGACCAGACAGGGGGCTGGAGCGTGACGGGAAGGTGTCACAGTCTGGCTGGGCGACCTTCCTACAGTCGAGACAAAGGAAGCAACACGAAAGAAAAGAAGTTCGGAAACGTTCCTGTGTCATCATGTTTCCCATCAACCCATCCTAGAAACTTCTGCCTATGCTCCCGGCTTACGAAAGCTGTCTGGAAGGTGACATGGGGCCCCATCCTTTACCACCTGAAGAGTCGTGCAGCAAAAGGGAAAACGAAACCACTCCCCAGGCACACACACTGGGGCACCGTGGACTTGGGGTTTTCACACAGCAGTTCTCCCTCGTGCACCCAGGTCCCCCCTCGGCATCCTCACGAGCAGGAACGGGTGATTACTACACCTGCTCACAGCAGGGACAGCTGTGTCCACCCAGGCCGTCTGGGACTGTGAACGTCTGTCTTGTCCAAGTTAAGAAAAATGGGGGAGGGTATCTTAATTTATCTCATCCTGAATCCGAGCAAGATGCATCTTTAAAGTCACCTGAAAAGCTCCTTCCGTAAGGGCCTCCCTAGGACTCTGGCTATGCAGATTACAAGCCTCGCTCTGATCTCTGGCCAACACGTCTGTGGCCAGAGCGGACAGGGGTCCTCTTTGAAACGGGTTTATTATTCATGGTTCCGAGGGCCCAGGAAAGATGCTTAAGGAAGCGTGTTCCTTTTTCATGATTTGGAATCCTGGAGTGAACTGATTTCTTACTGAGTCTTTGAAGCTGTGAGATCTGACACAAGCATAATGTTAAGAAAAAAACCCAACAACAACAACAACAGAGAAGGTCAGGACTGCAAACATCAGGGAGGGTAGCTTTCCTTCCAGTCCCGAATCATCTGTTCTCCCTCTTCCTACCCTCCCTGAAGCCTTCACTAGGTCAATGTGCATTTTCGTTGGGTTTTTGCCACCTGCTGGAGATAGAAGGCATGAAGGAAAGGAAGCAAAGGAAAGACTTTCTCCAGAAGCCCGGGGCTCAGCTGGGGAGAGAAACCATATGCTCATGAAAAGTTTAAGCAGGAAGAAAATCATGTCAAATCGAGCTGTGGATCATGGTGGAACGAGTCTGGGGCCCGAGGACAGTGTGGTCAGGGAGGGCTCCCAGCAAAGAAGGGGCGCACGCACCTTGGACAGGCAGATGGGAGCAGGGCTGAAGAGAGCTCATGTGGGGCCGATGGGGCAGGAAGCGGCCACTGAAATGGTGGGTCCATGCTGGGGACAGCGAGGTAGGGGCCGGACAGCAGGAGCCTCTTCTGGTCTAGCTGGGGGTTTAGGTCTCGTTTCTAAGAAATAAAGAGCCGGGGGGAATGTAGTCCACCTGGTTTTGTGAATGGGGTGTCTGGGTCCCGTGACAGAGAGGGGAACTCAGGTGATGACATCACTGGAAACTGTTGGGGACACCGGGGTCACAGCTGAGGCAAGGTGGGGGTGGCAGCAGGAAGGGAGAGGACTGGTCACTATCTCCGTCAAATTCTGTCCCAGGGGTTGATGCCTCATTCTGGGTCCCCATCGGCTCCCGCCCAGATTTCTGGCTGCTTGCCTGGGTCCCGGTGTCTCCCCACTGTGCCCCATGGTCTCTACCGTCCCCACCACCCCCACCCAGGGCCTCACTGGACTGTGTTATTCTGCACCCATTAAACATTAACTCCTGAACCCCCCGCATCACTGTTCTACTTTCTGTTGACTAAGAACCTTGTGTAACTGGATTATACAATATTTGCCCTTGTGGGACTGGCTGATTTTACTTAGCCTAAACCCCATTGGGTCTCCAATGCCTGGAGGGTAAAACTCAAACTCCTCCCCCAGTTGCAAGTCCCGGTGTGACCCAGTCTAATCTGTCTCCAGCCACACTCCTCCCATCTAGAAAATTCTCACCCTGCGCTCACACTGCTCACCAAGCACACCGCCTCTGGGAGGTTTTCTGCCTCTGCAGCGGGGGCAGCTGTTTTCCAGCTGGGCCACGCCCCCGTGCCCAGGCTGGTGGCCCCCCCCACCACCTCAGGCCTGATGCTTGGGCTCCAGCACCAGGGTGGGGTTCCCAAACGTGAACTTTAATCACCTGGAGCCCTGTTTAAGTATATTTGCAGGACCCCAGGCCCAGAATTTCTGATTAAATAGATGCATTTGGAGAATCAGAGAAAGTCTGCTGTGATGTGATGTGGGTCCAGGTGCATCTTGAGGTCTTGCATTTTTAAGGAGTCCCCGGTGGTGATCCGTGGCTGGTCCCCCAGCACGGCAAACACCTTCTCGCTGTTCTTCTGAGTTCCCTGCTTACAGCTGCATCCCGGTTAGGCCTCAGAGCCCACATCTCCATCCCGTGCGTCCAGGCCCTTCTGCCACACACATCTCCAAGCGTGAACAAACGCGCACCCAGCGCAGCGCAGCGCAGCGCAGCGCAGATGAGGGTATAACATTTCTAGTTGCATTAGGAACAAATGCTCCAGGCGGACCCTCAGAAACACAGTAATTAACGTAACTTCGGAATGAAGTTTCTCAGCAAGCTCTGGTTTGTCCTAACAGCTTAAGTAAGAAGCCATACATACCCACTTCATCTAGAACAGTCTATCACAGGCCCACAGCTTGAAGAAGATGCGTACTGCCCTCCATCTTCACGCTTTTTGGTGATGTTGAACCTGAGATAGTGAACAGCTCAAGGTTTTGGGCTATGGCTGATTCTTTTTTTAATCTTTTTTTTTTATTGTGATAAAATACAGATAACCTAAAATTTGCCATCTTAACCATTTTAAGTGTACAGTTCAGTGGTATTGATAATTTATTAAATTAACATAATTTAAACCAATGCTACAACAGATTATTAATAATTTGTAGTAATTCATAATGGTGTGCAACCATCCCCACCATCCATCTCCAGAATTCTTTTTATCTTGTAAAACTGACATTCTGCACCCATTAAACATTAACTCCTGAACCCCCCGCATCACTGTTCTACTTTTTGTTGACTAAGAACCTCGTGTAACTGGATTATACAATATTTGCCCTTATGGGACTGGCTGATTTTACTTAGCCTAAAGTCCTCAAGATTCATCCATGTTGTAGAATTTCCTTCTTTTTAAAGACTAATTAATACTCCATTGTGTGCATAGGCCACATTTTTCTCATCCATTCATCTGTTGATTTGCTTTGCTTGCTTTGCTTCACATTTTTAGCTATTGTGAATGCTGCTGCCATGGACATGGATGTATAAGTATCTTTTCCCAACCTTGTTTTCAATTCCTTTAGGTACATACCCAGAAGTGGAATTGCTGGGTCACATGGTAATTCTGTTTAACTTTTTGAGGAACCTCCATACTGTTTTCCAGAGTGGCTGCCCCCACTTGCATTCCCACCAACAGTGTAGGGGGGTTCCCCTTTCTCCACATCCTTGCCAACATCTGTTGTTTCTTGTGCTGTTGATTTTAGCCATTCTGACTGGTGTGAAGTGGTATCTCATTGTGGTTTTGATTTGTATTTCCCTGATGAGGAGTGATGCTGAGCATTTTTTCATGTGTCCATTGGCCATTTGTATGTCTTCTTTGGAAAAATGTCTGTTCATGTCTTCTGCCCATTTCTTGATTGGATTCTTTGTTCTTTGGGTGTTGAGTTTGATAAGTTCTCTGTAGATTTTGGATACTAGCCCTTCATCTGATGTGTCATTTGCAAATATCTTCTCCCATTCTGTCGGTTGTCTTTTGTTTTTGTCAACTGTTTCCTTTGCTGTGCTTTGGGGATGGGGTAACTGGGTGATGGGCATTAAGGAGAGCACTTGATGTGATGAGCAAAGGGTGTTATATGCAACTGAAGAATCACTAAACTCTACCTCTGAAACTAATAATATGAATTAAAAAAAAACTTAGAGCCAAATTTGTGGCTCACTGTGAACAACTATGTTTTCACTTTATCCTGTTTTCTGACCTATTGTTCCTCGTCCTGACTTTTCTCATATCTTTTTTTTCCTTTTAAATTATGTTTTTTTTAGTTCCCCTTATTTTTTAAAATAGAAAGAGACATAGCTGACTAGTTGTTCTTCTTGAGGCCTAATTTTCATGACTCTCTTCCCTATCCATCTTAGTGTTAATACATACCAGAAACTCATATCACCGCTTACGAAACTTTGAGGGAGCATGGAGAAGCAAAGAATGTGGAGCCAGAGGTGGACACCAGCAGCATGAATACAGATGCATTGTGGGCCTGACACAGCCCCGTCCCTGCAGAAGGCACTGGACTGGATGGGCCTGAGGGTCCTCACAGAGCCCCAGAAGGCAGACTTATCTGGCAGTTATTCTGGAAGCTTCTCTCAAGTGACTGGCATTCACTGAACTCTCCTTCTGAGTTATCACATGTTTGGTTATCTGTCCTCAAGGTCACATACAGGGCACCCCAGCCCTTAATGGGTTTCCTCCTAGGCTGGGCTGAGGGAAGGGGCTGAACATCTCTACTATGGTAGATGGTGCCCAGGAGGGCCTTGAATCCTGAAGGCATAAACCACCAAGAACAGCCAGCAGCAAGCTCAAACTTGCACTGACTTCCTGAACACCCTTCCAATCCTCGGCCTTTAGGACTTAACACACATGTGAGCTGCATGGCTTCACTGATATAATCACTAAACTTTTCTCCCCTTTTTTTTTTATTCCTGGCACCTAGGGGATTATGAGGTGGCTAAGAGCTGAAATTTGCCATTTACATAAGCTCACAGACAGGTCTCTCCTGACACTCCAGGTATCCAAATACTCCCAGTGAAACCAGTATCTTACCTGCAGAGGGCAACCACAGGTAAGGCTCCTGGGCACCAGGCCCATCGAGGCTGCTTTGTGTATGGAAAAAAAAAAACAAACCTGGGCCTGGCTCTCAAATGGCTTTGTCCTGAAATAAAGCCTTGAGCCCAACGTCACCAGGCCAGCTCCACGGCCTAGTCTGTGGCTAAATCTATGTCACCTTCTTCAACTAAGGTAGCAGGGGTTTAAATGCAACTGCCTTAAGTGAGGCCCTTTCTACAGCTCCAAAGCCTTGACCAACAAATTAAACAAGAGCAAGACGGAATTTGGCCAAAGACACACACACACACACAGCTTTGGAAGGGTCACAGCTGCCTCTGGAAGGAGCTTCCTGATGTTAGAGACGCTCAAGGAAGTGCAGGCTGGAAGAGGGGATGCCTATCAGAGCAGGGGTTCAAAGTAGTGGCTTTGAGCATCCTTCCAACCTTGAACTTTTATGACCCTAGGATAGAATGCATAGGCTCCTACTGCACTTAAGAAATCCCTCTCCACGGGTGAAAGGAGGCTGCTTGTTCCTACCGCTTCCACAGGCCAAGCTGAAGGAGCGGGAATTAGTACGGCCAGCAAACAATGACCTTGGTGTCCATCTGCCCAGAACCACAGATCGCTCAGGCCCTGGACCAGGAAGCCAGGTAGTAGCACAGAAAGGGCCAGCCACCCCCAGAGGAGCTGTCCTGGGGTGAAGTCGTAGACTGTGGAGTAGAGGCCTGCGGGATGAAAGAGGAAAGGCGAGAGGGTGAGTGCAAGGCTGGAGGGGAGAGTGAGGGCCCCTCCAATCCCGCATCCTCAGCACGGGCAGGATTCCCTGCTGGACCCAGTCCTGGAGCAGGCACGGCCAGCTCGCATTCTAGACAGGCCTGTGGAGGGATGAAGGTGCCAGGCTCATGGTCACAGAGAGAGGCTGTTGGCTTGCCTAGGACAGCACGCACAAAAACTACTTGGCACCTGGTATGTGCATTTAAAAAATGCTAATCCTCCTCTCTGGGGATTTATTTTTTAATTTTTGAGGATGCTAGGGTAAAGTAACATAGAGGAAAGGGACAAATCTAGGTGAGGGTCTGTACTCCCAATCAGTGACAGTGGGGGGGAGGGGGGCTTGTGTCTGTCCAGCACCAGTAGGTGCACAAATTCACTCTAGTCGTTTTATGTGATCATTCCTTGAGTTTTGCAATATTTAAGTTTAAAATGGATTTATGGGCACACAAAGCTGCGAATTGTAGTGGAAACGCAGCATTCCCCCGGGACCAGATAGGAACCCTGCAGGGCTGGACCGAGGGGCCAGGGAATGGACAGGCTCTGCTGGGAGTCCTAACCACCTGGGCTTTCTGCTCCCCACCCCCTCTACCCACCAAGGTAAACGAGGGCTTCCGGCACAAACAAGTCTTTGGAGGAGTCACCACCCTGCCTAGGCCCAGCAATGCTGAGGCCGTAGTTGGTTCTTGGGTGAGAGGAAAAGTGGGCACAACGTCTGCGGGAGCACCTGGGGTGAATACCGACACGGGGCTCCTGTGTGGCCCGAGGCCAGCCTGTCTGGGCGCTGGACCAGGGAGATTTGGAACAGACCTCCCTCGCTCCCTCGGCCTCCTCCCGGGTGAAGATCTGGCCCAGGGCGCCACCGAAATCGCGCTGCGGGGACGCCCCAGTGGGACCCACAGGGACAGTCTTGCAAACTGGAGATTCCACCAACCCCGAGGCAGCAAGTTGCCCACAGGGGTAAAGCTGAGAGCCGCCGCCCGCCGGGGGTCCCCAAGTACGTGCGTGCTGGGAGGGGCGCGGGGCCCTGGAGGTCTTGAGGCTGGGACTCATTAACCCCCCACCCCTCCCCAGGGACCCCGCTGAGACAGACCCATCAGCAGGGAGCCCGGCGCAAGCGGGCGGAGGCCTCCTCCTCCCCACAAAGAGTTACAAGTTCAAAGCAGAAAGGCGCTAACCGGTGTTGCCATCTTGCTGGGCCAGGACGAGCTCCCCCGGCAAGCCGTCTGGCCCAGTCCTGAAGCCCGCAGCGGATTCAAAGTCCTCCAGGCCCACGCGGCCGCCTCCCCCGCCGCCGAGACCCCCGGGCAGGCCGGGGCGTGGGGGTGGAGGTGGGGGTGCGCAGCTCGCACCGCGGCCATCGGCTGCGTCCAGGAGGCCTTTCCGGAGGGAAGGGGGGAATACACGTGCCCAGGCTCCAGGAGAGGACCGTGCACCCGCGGGGACCCACCGAGGACGGGGAGGGCGGGCGGGGTGCCACCGTGCACGCACGGGCGCGCGGAGCCTAGCGCCGTCCGGGGCAGGCTGCCCTCCGCGGCAGAAGTGGCCCGTGCGTCCCGGGCGTCCGGATGGGTCGGGGGCTGGAGGGATGAGCGGGGCAGGCGCCCAGCCTGGGGCCGCCCGGCACTCACGCGCGCTCTGCTCGGCCGCCAGCAGCGGGGCGGACAGCCCCAGGGCCCCCGCGAGCATCCTCCGCGCCGCCGCCCCTTCCCCTGCCGCCGCCTGGTGGGACCCTGGGGGCGCCGACTCCCTGCTGGTTTATCCCAGGCGGCTAGCCGGGGACAGAGGCAGGGCAGCCCTGAGTCTTCCGGTCCCTAGGTGGGTAAGTACAAATCAGATCAGGCCCCTCGATGTGGGCAGAAGTTTCCTCTGCCGTTCCCCAACCTTATAAGGGGCCCTGGAGAAGTACTGCGTGATGGCTGTGACTACAGGTGGGCTGGTCACGAGGTGGTTAAACTGGTCACTGCCTCTGGGGCCGCTGAAAGCCCAGTGAACCACTAGTCAGTGCACTGGGATGTTAACTGGTCTCACTCTCAAATCCATCCGGATCTCTGTCCTTGCAAAAGCCTTTTCCGGTAAATCCGGGCTTGAGGATTAACCAAGATTGCAGTGTGCGAGAGGTCAAGCTGCGCACTGGAAAGCTTTCAGGATACATCTACCTACCTCACTCTATAGACTGTATGCAGTATAACTTGGTGATGGTGATGGTGAATTTGGGGTCTTTAACTCCTAAAGCAGGCAATTAGCCAAACCATTCCTTCTTTTTATTTGGGAGGAGTTTCCAGCCACCATCCTTGAGTCAAGGGCATTTGCCACACTGGTTTAATTAGATGGACTACTGCCCCCTTCCCTACAAAAGCCCTGTAGTAGAAAAAGCCAGAGTTGAAGAACTTACCATCTTGGAGGGGAAAAATAGTTAGACCACTCAGTGAACCTGTAAAGCAAAGGAACCCACAAAACTCTTGTGATTATTTTCCTTTTACCAAAATAGAGCCACAAATTCAGGTATCTTCGGTTCTTCCCCTGTGATGTTTATAAAATGCTTTGTTTCATTGAAGATAATGCTTGTTTGTCCTAAGAGGCTCCCCACCCTACCGTGCCCATTTTCCATTCACTTTTCAGGGCATTTCTGGTTTTCTCATCAGAAACAAGTTCTGCTCTTCTCGGTCTCTTCCGCCTTCAGAGACCAGCTGCAATACTGCGGATCAGAGCCTCCTGAACACCTCTCGACTCTCTGCCCTCTAAGCCGATACAAGGGTGCACTTGTAAGTTCTGGGTTTTCATTCCTTCAGCTTCATTTTTCCCAAAACCTCATTGACCAAAGTCCTGTTCCCTTTTCTCTACTACAGCCTCTCTTTTTATTAACTTTCAATCCCCAGATGCTCCCTTCTCTGATTTTCCTGAAAAAAGAGTGTGTCCCAATTTGTACACATTGGAAGCAGGACTATCATCCCTAGAAAAGGAATATAAAGTTGAAATTGGCTATAGAAATTAGGGTTGGGGGTAGAGGATATTTATGGTTGGGGAGGGATCATTGTGGTATTCCATACTTTGCTCAACATTTCAAGTTTTAGGGGGAAAAATGTTTCCCCTAATTCCCAGGTATTACTTGAAGCATATACATAGATCCCATATTTTGTATGTTACAAAAAGAATTCAATGATTTAGAAGTTTGACGGAGGGTATTTCTCTTGGGACAGTAGCAGTTTGAATAAGAGTTATATAGTTAATGTCGGCTGCCTTGAGGCTTTGGGAGGGTTTTGAAAGGAAAAGTAGAAAACGTCTTGGAGAAAGGGGCTTATTGTCCCTGGAGACTAGCTTTAAGTCAGAAAATAGTGGTTCCCACCCCAAACCACAGCCATGGGATGACGGATGGTGAGTGGGTTGTGCAGAAATCTTAGAAGCTAGAGAATCGTGTATTGCTATTGTGTAAACACCCGCCCGCGTCCAAGCCTTTTGTGTTAGACTGGAGAAAAACACCACAGATGCTTTACCTCTCCCTGTGCCCATGTCTCTGCCATGTGACTTTGCTACTTCTCCCACGAGGAAGCAGAGCGTCTTCACTCACTTGAATTTGGCTGGGCTGGGATTTGCTTTGACCGAAAGAATGTGGGAGAAGTTAGGTGGTAGGGGTTCCAAGCCTAGGCCCCAGAGGTTCTGCAGCTCCTTCTCTTTTTTTTTTCTGTCTGTCCCTGTGTCTGTGTCTCTGTTTTGTTCTCTCTCTGTGCACCCTGAGCCCGTCCTGTGAAGAAGCTTGGGCCAGCCTAAGACAGACTTGACGTCTATTACTCGAGAACATTTGTTATGTCAATTTTTTCTCTGTCCCTTTGAGAGGTATGTAAATCTTTTTTTTTTTTAAGATTTATTTATTTTAGAGGAAGAGCGAGCATGAGCGGGGCGGGGGGCGCGCGGGGAGAGAAGGAGACAGGCAGACTCCCTGCTGAGCGGGGAGCCCCATGCAGGGCTCGATCCCAGGACCCTGAGCCAAAAGCAAGAGTCCGATGCTTAATGGACTGAGCCACCCAGGTGCCCCAGATGTATATAAATCTTTCTTAAAAAGCCTTTGTCAGTTTTATAATCCAGGACTTCCCCAAGGATGACCACTGAGGGAGATAGCACCCCCCTGTCCCTGTCTCTGGGGGAGGGTAGGAGCCTAACTTTGATCTCTTGGAGACCCAGCCCACGCTCAGACATGAGCAAAGCCATCTGAGACGGCCCAGTGCAGGCCCAGTGCCATCCGATGCCTATGACCTGTCCTAGCGGAGCTCAGCCCAAACCACTGGCCCACAGAATGAGGAGCAAATAAAATCGTTGCTGGGAGGCACTGTTGGTGCGGGTGGTGATGTGGCAGTGGATACAGATGCACTTCTCCTGGGTCGTGACTGTGCTGCCTGGATGGGGGCCCGCCTTGACTCCGTTGGCCAAACCCCCGGGAAAAGGACCTGTTGTCTCTGAGCTCCAGATTCTTCAGACCCCGACTGTGAGGCCAGGACAGAAACTCTGCAAAGCAGGCTTCTCCTTTGCCGGCCCCGTCCCTTAGGTTCTGCTGGCAGGAGCCGTGGGAAGCCCTAGGGCAAGGAGGAAAGGACCGCAGCTCTGCTTGCTTCTCACTCCTGCTCCACCCAGGAGCCTGCGGCTTCCAGCGCCCCCAGCACCAGCACATGGTGCGGGAGGAGCTCCCGGGGCAGGCAGTCTCAGCTGTGTGGGGCTCCTCGGAGGCTCTGAAAAGCCCAGAGTCCTCTCTCTGTTCTCCCAGGCGTTGGGGTGGGAGCTGCTTTCCTTTTTTGCTCTTACGTTTCTCCCACTTCATTTAACCAGTTCCCCACATTAAATTCTCTTTGTTGAAATACCTATTGTGGATTCTATAGACTCCATGGTCAAACTCTAGGGGCACCAAGACTGCTCCTAGGTTGGATGTTGCATTGAACTTTGTAAATATTTATAGGAAAGTAACCCCATCTCCCTTGCTCCTGAGGGATCTCTTCCTACGATCCATGGACAGGAGAGCCTGGATTGCAGATTCTTAGAAAATCTAATTGTAGATCACAGTGGGAGAGACCACGAAACACCTCAGACCTAACAGGAGGGAGTAAATCCTGAGAAATTTGCATCGTTTACTTCTTTCTCCACATCACACAGTTCTGCCTACAGTCTCTCTGCCTGTGCCTGGGGCAACCCACATCCCATAATGAGCAGCTCGTGATGGGTGGAATGGAGGTGAGCCTAGAGAAAAGCCACCTTTGTCCTAAAGGAAGGAGGAGGGGGTGGGGATGGGCTTTCTCCTCTGTGATCCTATTTGCTTCTTGTATTTGTGGCAATTCGTGACCTCAGAGGCCACCATGAGCAGAGAAAAAGGACCCAGATAGATCTTGGTGCACCTGTCATCCCAGTTGCCATGGAATTGCCATAAATTCAAACAAAACCAAGGGGGGGTTGCAGCCCGGGGTGATTCTGCAGCGTCCACCAATTTCAGTCCTCGGTCCTCTCCAGCTGTGTCTCCCTTTTGAAGACTCGCTCAGACTCCCCATCCTTTTTCTACCTGACCCTCGTGTGAAGTTGGCTGGAGCAGGAGATCACGAGTGGGGGACCACTGCCAACATGAAGGCCGTGTGTTGCCAAAGGGGCGTCTTAACAGCCACAAAGGAGCGAGAGGTCAGGGAGGCCAGGAGTGCTTCGCTGCGGATGAATTTGGAAACACCCCCCCCCCCCATGGAGCTGCAGGGCCAGGGGTGTGTTGGGGGCCACGGCTGTGCTCCCACCATCCCTCCTCACGGACTAAGGGTGCAGGGCTCGCTCACTGCCCCCGAGGAGTCTGTAAACGGGCGATTCCATACTGGTTTCTGTTTCAGGGCCTGAACAAATCACTACTGTCTCCTACTTTGTAAGAGCCAATAAAGAAGGTGGTGGAATTCGTTGGTGCAGTTTCTATTGAACATGGTAGGAACAAATTCACGTTAATTAACAATGGGGGAAAAAAAAGCCAGAGTTTTGCTTGGCTTCTCCAGGCCTTGTGTTTGCCAGGAATCCCTTCTGGAGGCACATGCTTCACCTTGCATTGCCGAGGGGAGTTGAACGCCGTCTGCACCCACAGCGTGTGCCCGGATGCCACCCTGATTCAAAGGACACGGTGGTGATGTAGGTGACTGCTTGCTCCAAAATACAGTGAATTGATAGAATTTGAGATGCAATAAAGCCGGCAGATCAGGAGCCAATCGCCATTGAAAAGAGTTGGTTTCTCACGGATCCCAAGAGGAGAGGCGCGCCACTCGGGGGGGGGGGGGGGCATCCGGGGAGGTAGCAGGGCCAGTCAGGAGGCAGGGGGAGGAGGAGACTGTGAGCAAGGGCCTTAATTGTGGTTTCCATGGGAAGGCATCGGCGAGGCGGGGAATCTCTGAGAGCTGATTGGTCCCCATCCCTCAGGAGGTTTTTAGGTCTGTTTTGGAGACATCCTACCTGGATTCATCTTCGTCTGTCTCCCTGAACACGGCTCTTCTTCCCAGTTGCTCAGTTTCACCTGTGAAACTTTTAGTCGTACCTTGTCTTCACCATATTAGTTTTGTTACTACAGTTTCCCCCCAGTCTCTGCTTCATCTCTCATTCACGTGCTCTCCACTGCCCCGTGTTATCTGCCGGGATGTGAGGCTGCCTTAGGGAAGGTCCTGCCCTCTGGTTTTGCAGGTCATACCTGT